CAAATGCAAATTACAAGTAAAATTAACATAAACGTTTACAAAAAATGAAATGAATGCCGACATAACCTAAGCCGTGTTCCATCCACCATTCTATTCCCTCCTCGTGGTTTTGGACTGACTTTAATTAGAACCGAAAATAGAGACTTTTAGGCTTAGGGGGTGTGAATGGTATTTGGTAGCAATCACATTACAGATAGATCGAGATCAGCCGTCTCGTCAACAAACATGTCACTCAACTTTTGTCTTTCTTTTTTTTCTTTTAAATCTTTGATTATACATATAGAGATAATTATTTTTTATTTTTTATTTTAACTCACTTACATGTCATGTGATTTAAATTTAAAATTTTTATTTTTAATAAAAAAAAATAATCACTAAATTATTTAAATTATTTATCTTGATTATATAATAAAATATAATTATTTCACATCTCTTATCTTATTCCACTCATATGTCATATAACTCGAATTTAAAACTCTTATTTTTAATAAAAAGAGATGATCACGTGACCATTGAATTATTTACTTGTCTAATTTCTTAACGTGGTGTTCTTTTTTTTGTGATTTTTTTTCTAATTATACTTTATTTTGTTAATCTCTCCTTCTTCTCTTTTTTTCCTTCGTCATTTTAGTACTTTACACATCGGTCTTTTTCTTTTTCCTTTTTCTTTTTAATTGGGGTGATGTTTACGATCGTAAAGATTGTTTTTAGTAAAATATCTTTGTGGAAACCTAAAAGGACTTGGATTTTGTCACCGCAAACTAAATTACCCTCCTATGAAGTTTATTTATAAATTTTTTTTAGTATATATATATTATTATCTTAATTACATAATGAGAGATAATTATTTTTCATTTTTTATCGTAATTCACCCCGTATGTCATACAACTCAAATTTAAGACCTCTTACTTCCAACGAAATGAAATAATTACTAAATTACTTATATTGTTAATATTTTTTTATTTTATATTAATTGTTATTTTTTTATGTATATTAATATCGATAAAGCTTTTAAAGTGTTTATTGTATTAAATGTAATATCAATTATTATTATTAATAACAACCAAGTGATTTAATATATAGTAATATTTTTAAATTATCCATAAATCTCATATATCATTAAAATAAGATACTAATGATATAAAATTAACATGTGTGATGCTTTAATAAGTGGTAAAACTTCTTCTTACGAATTCATATATCACATGTGAGTGATTTGAAGTGAATGCATCGGATTAACCCACCATAAGAACATTATATACACCTAGCATTAATAGCTTCTTAACACACAAATATAAGCGATTTTTTTACTTAAGATCATCATTTTTATATGTGATGACTTATGTATTTTAATATTATTAAAAATAACTATTATGAGGGTAGTTAGTAATATAGTTATTTAATATATCACAAATCATATAAGAGTAATGAGCGATTGAACATATGATTTGCCATTCTCAAACTTAAAATTAAAAGATATTTCAAAACTCTTTAATTGAAATAAGATTACTTAAAAACCATGACTATAGCATGAAAGACTTCATTCAAGAAATTTAAATTTATTGAAAGTTAAGAAAAAAAAAATTAAAGTAACATTTAAGTTCTTAAAGGTTATTTGACCGAACCTCAGCCAATGGGCTAGGGCATTAGTGGCACAAGGGGAGAAAGATAGAGTGTTAACTTTTAAAAAATGTTAATTTTTAAAAGATGGATTTTTTTTTTCAATAAAAGTAAAACACCTCACAATTTTAAAATTAATCAATTTAAAATTATGTAAAATCATATATATTCAATTAAAGTCAAATATTTACATAAAATCTTATATATCCAACTAAACCCACACATGTAAAATCAATGTGTGACAAGAAACCCTTGATCGGGCTCCCTCAGGGGTGGCGACATGATAATCATGTTCGCCATTTATCAAATTGGCGTTAAACTTTTTGAAATAAAAAAACCCCCAATTGGGACCATTAAAAGATGGGTTATTAAATGCACCCAATTTTTTTGGGCAAGTGACCTTTCATTAGCTTGAGGTGCACTCTTTTTTTTTTATGGGTTCGAGTTTCGTCCGACAAATTATTCAAAAAAAGAAAAAGATGGGTTATTAAATAAAAATAAAAATTTGATGATGGGTTTGGTGTATGTAAGTGAAGTAGTTACTGTTCTTATTATTATTACCCTATTATTTTTCATCAAAAGTGCAGCAGTTACGTCAACCGGGGCTGTGGCCAATTGGTTGTCTCCGAGCTTTAGGGTTTGGGTGAGATGGAGATCAGGATTTCGAGTTCTGTCATCGTCATGAACTTTACCAACTTACGACCTAATGGTCGCACACCTTAAATGAGGGGTGGAAAGTTCACTTTTTTAAAAAAAATTTCAGTTACTAACAAACTAACTTTACTAATTTCTTAACCATCTATCTGAAAAAAAAAAAAAAAAAAGTGCAGCAGTTACAGATGGTAAAGCAAAGAAAGGAGGTGAAAGATGATACGCAACCACACGATAAGCACAAAACCCCAACTATTGTTTGGCGTGAAAGCTGATCTACAATCATTGCGATATATTTTAGCTCATTTCCAAATAATAAATATTGCAACGAAGTAAAGCAGATTCTGACACCAGCTTTAATCAAAGCAAGCAAAGTCATTGGATCCTCTCCAACTTGGAAGTTGGAACTCCCACTCCGTCCCACCCACCTCGTCAGAATTTCACTACTTCCTTAAAAGTTAATTTATTTTAATCAGATAAGTTAAATAAGATATATTTTAATATTTTTACAACTTAATATTATAATAAATAAAAAATAAAATTAATTTTTTAAATTTTTATTGCTTTATGTACTATTTGAAAGTAATATTATCTTCTAAATTTTTAAATAGAAAATCTTTTCCCTAAGTTTTTGTTTTATCATACGACTTATTTGTTATTTTTTTCCTTTTACTTTTTTTTTATCTCAACTTTTTATCAAATATAAAGTAAAATTTAAAAACTT